CTAAGACGAACCAGATGTGTGACAAACCTTTCGAAACATGAAAGTACTTCAAATATTGTACTTCTTAAAGTGAACATTTTCTTACAGTAAATAAAATAAATATTAAATAAAGTTAATTGTTTGTTGTAGTGCTTATTTACAGATATAAATAAAATCCATTTTAAGAAGTTTCACTATTAGCATGAAGCCAATATATATTTTTAGGTATTTTTTTAATTTTTTTTATAATTAAGTTTTAGTAAAAAATTGTTTTATTAAGGGAAATAAATAAACTTTTAGGTGATAACTAAGATTTTTATATTTAAAAAAACTCAATATTTCTGTTAATCATTTATCATTAATACATTGAAGAATTTTTATATCACTGGATATCCTGAAGAGTCGGTTTGGATATCCTAGGGTTATTTTAGAATATCCATAATATGTTCATAGAATATCCATAATACTTCTTACTTATTTTAATTACTTCAATTACTTATTTCAAATACAGAAATTTCGTAAGGAAATATCACTACTGTACAAAGATATCCATAATATATTTATAGGATATTCATCAGATATCCTGCTGATAATCATAAGATATTTTTAGGATATATCTTCAGGTTATTCCTTTATTATCTTTAGGATATTGTTAAAAGAATACCTATGGTATAAAAAAAATATCTAGAATATGAATTACTTACATAAATTAAGGATATCCTAAAAAACCACTGTTTATAACCTAGTGATATCCCTAGAATATCAAGTGGATATAATGATATCCTATAAATATATTTTTTAATGTTTCTAACCAGTACATACGAAATATTTCGTAACATTCTTAGAGTATTTGCAAATTTTAAGCTCTATTGCGTTATTAATAACATTTAATTAAACTATTATTTAGCAGAATTCTTACAAAATTAAATTTTTTTTAGAAAATGAAGAGTTTAATGTTCCTGATGAATCTAATGAAGCAGAGTCATCTAGTTCTGTCAGGCTTGCCAGATTGTGCTATAAACCGCGATTTGGGCTGTCTTTTGCACTGTTTCCGCGGCCTAAATCTTGTTATCGCTACAAACAGCAATTTGGGCTATATATTACTCAATGACCGCGTTTTTTTGTTTTACAGCGCTGTAATTTTACTTTTATTCAAAATAACAAAAAAAGTTTGTATTTTATTACAGTCATCAATTTCAGTAAGAAAAATCTATTAGCGCCATACTGCGGTAGTAATTTCTACTAATTTTTAATATGTTCCACAGTCGGTATTTGTGTTACATAGATATATGTCTTTCTGTTTGCCGAACTGCTGGTTATGTGAATGTCAACAGTGTCTATACACAGGCGAATAATATTTAGATAGATTCTTTTTTATTATATTATGAAATAGTGAGCGCAAAACTTAAATACAAATGGGGAAGTGGGGAAAGTATTTAAAGCATTATAATTGTAAATGGGAGTCAGACCCGATCTCAAAGGTAAGTAGAAAGATAACTTAACCTAAAAACTTACGACAGTAATAGCCACATTAGAGCACACCATAGTGATCTCATTGCACATTCTAAACGTGCAAAGCATGTGGACAAGGAAAAATCTTTTAATAGGTGAGTAAGAATTTTTGAAACGTGCCACCTAAAATTCAAAAAATTTATTTTTGGCCAAAATGTTGTTTTTTCTATAGTGCTTTACATAAAAAAACACTATGTGAAAGGATTTGCCAAAAAAAAATTTTTGTTATTGTTATAAACAATTAAAGTTTTCAGACACTTTTTTTAAAAAAAATTAATTAAAAAGAAACTTGTTAACCGATTTTAATGATTCAAGAGGCATTCTTTTTTATTTGAGTCAAAGTTTTGAATAAAATTTTTTTCGTAAAAAAATATTGAGATTTAATAAATAAACAAATTATTTATTTATAACAAATTAGCAAAAAACCATGTTCTCAATCGAATTTCAAAATGAAAAAAATAGTACTTATTCTCTGATTACCGCTGAGTAATATTCCGTTGAGAAAAAAAATGGCACGGCTTGGACAACTGACTTATTTAAACATTGTTTATCCCGAGCAGAACGGGATTTGCATGTGACGTCACGCGCAGCGGTCCTTTGACGCGGGAATCTAAGAGAATATCAGAGGAATATCAAAAATAATATTAAAATAATGTTTAAGTATTTCTTATGGACGAAAAAAACTATAACAATTTAATTAATTGTTTAAACAATTAATTTTTTTTATTTTTTCATAAACAGTAGTTAGGGCTAGAAATTTCTAGTCTTCTCTCAATTTCTCAATTTTTCAATGAGTAAAACATCTACTAATGGTAAAAAATAAATTAATTAAACATTGTTTAAACAATAATTAATTGTTGTTATTTTTTTCATAAACGGTACTTAGGGCTAGAAATTTAAAGTTTTTTCTCAATTATGCAATTTTTCAGGCGTAAACATATATTAATAATTAAAACTAAAAATTACTTATTTATTAAATTGTTGAAACAATTAATTGTTGTTATTTTTTCATAACTGCAATTAGAGTTAGAAATTACTTGTTCTTTTTCTATATTATGCATTTTTTGTAACGAAAGCACTTAAGTATAACAAAACTAAAAATTATCTAATTATTTAAACAATTTATTTTGTTAATTTTTCAATTAACTGTACTTAACTAGAAATTCCTTAGTTTTTCTCAATTTTAAATTTTTTTTATAATTTAAACACTTAATTATAATAGTAAAACTAAAAGAATGTTATTTAACCATTGATAAACAATTAATAATTTTTCAATTGATTATACATTTAGGGCATTTATAATTTTTCAATTGATTATAAATTTAGAGCATTTATAATTTTTCAATTGATTATAAATTTAGGGCATCTATAATTTATAATCAATTATAAATTCCTGCATTTTTGCCAATAATGCAACTTTTTATAGTAAAAAACCTATATATATATATATATATATATATATATTTAATTTATATTTATTTTTAAATAAATAATTTTTTATTTTTTATCAGTAGATTTTTTTCCATAAAAAATTGCAGAATTGAAAAAACTTTAAATTTCTAGCCCTAAGTACCGTTTATGAAAAAAATAACAACAATTAATTATTGTTTAAACAATGTTTAATTAATTGATTTTTTACCATTAGTAGATGTTTTACTCATTGAAAAATTGAGAAATTGAGAGAAGACTAGAAATTTCTAGTTTATGAAAAAATAAAAAAAATTAATTGTTTAAACAATTAATTAAATTGTTAGTTTTTTTCGTCCATAAGAAATACTTAAACATTATTTTAATATTATTTTTGATATTCCTCTGATATTCTCTTAGATTCCCGCGTCAAAGGACCGCTGCGCGTGACGTCACATGCAAATCCCGTTTTGCTCGGGATAAACAATGTTTAAATAAGTCAGTTGTCCAAGCCGTGCCATTTTTTTTCTCAACGGAATATTACTCAGTGGTAATCAGAGAATAAGTACTATTTTTTTCATTTTGAAATTCGATTGAGAACATGGTTTTTTGCTAATTTGTTATAAATAAATAATTTGTTTATTTATTAAATCTCAATATTTTTTTACGAAAAAAATTTTATTCAAAACTTTGACTCAAATAAAAAAGAATGCCTCTTGAATCATTAAAATCGGTTAACAAGTTTCTTTTTAATTAATTTTTTAAAAAAAAGTGTCTGAAAACTTTAATTGTTTATAACAATAACAAAAAATTTTTTTTGGCAAATCCTTTGACATAGTGTTTTTTTATGTAAAGCACTATAGAAAAAACAACATTTTGGCCAAAAATAAATTTTTTGAATTTTAGGTGGCACGTTTCAAAAATTCTTACTCAGGTCTTAACAGAAAAGTCTGCATAATTACAGTAAGTCAATCATACTTTTTTAATTAAAAAACTTTTAACGTTTTTTATATGATATTATATGATATGATATTATGTGTTTTACAGGTGTTATATTAAAAGATGACACAAAAATTGTAGAGATTAAACTCACAGTTTTTATCGCGATGCTTTGTGCAGTACGTGGCGTAGACCACTTAGGAGAGCTATTGAAAGTTTTAGGAAAGGGATCACAATTAGAAAATATTAGGCTACATAGAACCAAATGTTCAACGATAATATCAAATGTCATTATGCCAGTACAACTTCAAGAACTGCTTACGGATATTGGAAATAGTCCGTATGCCCTTATCGTCAATGAATCGACAGATGTGTCGGTAACTAAGTTTATGGGTTTATGTGTCCGATATTTTAGTGTTTCACAAAAAAAGATGGTAACTGATTTTCTGTCAATTATTAAAGTCATTAGTTGTACTGGAGAAAGTCTAGCTAATGCTCTAAAAAATTATCTTAAATCAATTGGACTACCTGTATCACAGTTGCATTCAATTGGAACCGATGGTGCACAGAATATGTGCAGTACTTTTTATGCTCGTTTAAAAAAAAGTGTACCTAATTTGCAATTAATTAAACGCTTTTGTCAGTCTTGACAATAGCGCAAAATATGCCTATAAAACTGTCCCGGATCACCTCGACTTCATTCTTACTGAAACATACAACTGGTTTTCTCATAGCTCTAAGCGCCAAGGAGAATATTCCGAATTTTTCAAAGTAAATAATTGAGTTATACATAATAAATAGACAAAAAATTATATAAACATTCTAGTTTGGTTAAAATATTTTCTAAATAATAATTTTATAAATATTTAAATATGTGATATTCCACAGTAAAAGGAACCTTAGCCGTTTTTGACAAAACTAAAATTTGGAGTATAAATAAAAGTGACTAGTTTTCGTTACTAACAATTAACATAGCTTAAAATTTTATGCAACTTATGTCCCTTTCACCGCATAGAACGTCACATATATTATGTTTATATTTTTTGAGTCCGTCTTAATTTATATTCAAAAATTAAAATTGTAATTAATTTTCAGGAAAGAAATAATGGAAAAACTCCTAAAAAATTACAAAGTTTGGCGAAAACGCGATGGCTAGTTTGGCTTCCTGTTACTTCTGTTATTATCGATCAGTGGTTCGATGTACGCGACTTTTTTTCAAATGCAGCTGCATCGCAGTCTAATGATTTTAAAGTAAATACTTTAAGCCCTAAGCACAACTGAGTCGGGTGCGGAAGACGACTTCGGGATATGGGCTTCCTAACCTCAAAATGTATGTAAATCTTACATATCCCGTAACCGTCTCCCGAACCCAACTCAGTTGTGCTTAGACCTTTATTAAATTTCTATAAAGATAATTCCAATCTTTTATATCTAACATTTTTAAAGTCGATATTAAGAGATATAAACAGTGTGAATTTAACTTTCGAGCATACAAATCGTCGGTTGGGTGCAGAAAGGTGCCAATTCAGACTAGTCGTGAAAAACGTGCCGTTTCAAAAAACACGTGAGAAACCTGCCACTTCAGCTGCGATTTGAAAAACATGCCAACTCAGAATTGACGTTAATTTTTTTCATTTTAGGTACTAGAAAGAAATTGTCCATCAAATAATAAATAATCAACAAATTAATTCAATAAATTAGTAAAAATATTCCTTTTTCAAAGAAAAATAACAATTATGCAAAATTCAACTAAAAAAAAATTTTTGTACAACTTTATAATCTTTGCTTCAAATTTTTCTGTACTGACAAATGTCAACCTAAAATAAAAAAAATGAACGTCAGTTCTGAGTTGGCATGTTTTTCAAATCGCAGCTGAAGTGTCAGGTTTCTCACGTGTTTTTTGAAACGGCACGCTTTTTACGACTAGTCTGAATTAACACCTTTCTGCACCCAACCGACGAAATGCTGATATCACAAAACTATACTGTGATCTTCGCAATCTTGCGTTTGGCATTACAAAACGAGTTCTTCAAGAAAGATCAATTACAGAGACGTATAGACCGGGAATTCTCAGATTGGACGAGGTAAAAATGTTAAAAAATGCTTTAAAAGTCACTGAAAATCTTAAGCCTATTGATCAGGTCAATTTTGGCGAGACATTCACTCAATTATGTGAGAAAATCGATATTCCACATCAATGTTTGAAAAATGTAAAAATTAATTGTGGAAACTACTTGTTAACATTGTCCCGTCAGCTTCTTGAAAGATTGCCTGACAATCTTGGTGCAATAGAAAAGTTAAGATATTTGACTCCACAACTAACTTTGTCGAAAGTAGGTCGATCAACTTTCCATCAACTGCCACTGGATTTAGGTGATAAAAAATATAATAAATTTCATGCTTTATTGTGATTATCTTGTTCATAAAATTCAAATAAATTATATTAATATATTATTTCTTTTCCATAGATCCTAATGCTGACCGAGAACTTTTAGAGGCTCAATGGCAAGCTTTAGGTGTTTTGCCACTTTGCGAAATATGCTTACACCCGGAAGAAAATTAAAATATAAATACTATTGATATTTATCATTTTTGATCCTGCGTTTTGGATTGCTTAAATTCCGTTGGCGAAAAGCCCTTTAAGGAACTTTCACTATTTGCTCTCCGTTGCCTTACTTTGCCTGTCAGCAATGCAGTTGTCGAAAGAATTTTCAGTTATGTGAATAACATAAAAAACAAAAACCGAAATAAATTACAAATTCAAATGTTGGAAGCTCTTTTACGTTTGAGAGTTCATCTTAAGGTATGATTATTATATTTGTAATATTTTTTTAATTTCGACTAGAAGAATTTTACTAATTATATTGTTTCTTTCTATTATGGAAATCAGATTTTCGGAAAATGTTGCAGAGATTTTGAAGTTACCAAAGACATGTTAAATAGATTTAATAATAGCATGTATCTATTTCGAGATAATGCCGAAGAGGAGCAGGCCGAAAATGAAGTTGATTCGAAAATGGAGGATTACAATAATTTCCTAGAATAATTTGAAAATGACTTCGACCAATGCGCGAATCTTGCATTATTTTTTTAAACGTTTTATGCCTACCAGCACCAAAAATGAAGACTTTTAGTGTGATAATTTTCTTTAGTATTCAGATTTTCACTATTATAAATTATAATTAATAATTAATGTTTAATTCGATGTTGATTGTTAATTTTTAAGAACTTTATTATTGGTTATACAAACAATTAAACATTTAAGTAATATAATAATTTGTCAGTTAATAAGAAAATAAGAAACTTAATTATTTAATTAATATAATAATTAAGATTTACTGAATAAATGATAACAAAAATTATAAATAAAAATTTTCTTTAAAAAAATAAAACTTTTTTCTTTAATAATATGAATGACATCAAATTTGAAAAATCTCGGATTAGGCTTCATTTTTTTTATTGCTTATTTTTTAGCTTCAAATAATCCCGCGGGTTTTGAGCTACATCAGCGCCTTCTACTTGCGGTACTTGTTACTAGGAATCTGGCAACACTGAGTTCTGAAGGAGAGTTCATTAATGACATTTTACAAATAGACAAGGAAATAAATGAAGTAAACCAGTTGCGAGAACTAGCTGTAACAGGTGAAATGAAGCAGACAACTGTAGAAAGAATGTTAAAAATTTTAAGACAAAGGGACCAGAGTTACCAAAGTCACCAAAAAATTTTTTAGGAACAAACTCTGCAGAATATGATGTTAAGTTAATGGCAGACATGGATGTAGAAAGTGTAGGAGAATAATTATTATTATTATATTATATTATATTATTATATGTTTAATTAGGAATTAAAAACGGCCTGTCGAAATGCATTGATCCTGAAGTTAATAAAAAATCAACAATCTTTTTACAAATTAATATAGATGGAGTCCCTATGACTAAATCAGGCGAAAAAGGATTATGGGTTATTTCCGGAAGAGTCTTTTATAAACCTGATATTTATAAGCCATTTGCAATAGCGATTTACTCAGGAAATTCAAAACCTGCCAGCGTTGACGACTTTATGAATGATTTTATAGTAGAAATTAATAACTTAACACATCGTGGTGTAACTATATCAGAAAAACGGTTTAATGTTCGAATTCATTGTTTTTTGTGCGATACTCCAGCAAGAGCTTTTTTAAAATGTACAGAAGGTCATACAGGATTCTACTCCTGCGAAAGGTGTGAAGTGCGAGGATTGAAATTGAATAATGTGACTCAGTTCCCTCTTACAAATTGTCCTGAAAGAACAGATGAATCTTTTAGACGCTGTTCACAACGTCGACATCATAAAGGTTTATCGCCGATTTTAAAAATAAAACCTTCCCTCAACATGATTTTCATATTTGTTCTTGAATTTATGCACTTATTTTGTGAAGGAATGATGAAACGACTGTTAATGTTCTGGTTTATTGTAGGTGGACGAAATAACGTAGGTCAGCAGGTGAAAAAAGAAGTCTCAAGACGAATTCGTATGATTCGAAAATGTATTCCTATTGAATTTCAGAGAAAAATACGTACATTAAAAGCATTAAGAAAGTGGAAAGCAACTGAGTTTAGATTTTTTCTCTTATATTGCGGACCAATTGTAACTTGTAACTTGAAAAAATTCAAGTGCTGAACATGCACTGTGCTATTCATGTTGTCGATGATATAATTACCACTGGTAGTAACTTTAGTGGAATCAATTCATTTCCATTCGAAAATTTTTTAGGTAAATTAAATGGTCTTTTGCGCAGTGCGAACCGTCCATTAGCACAAATTTGCAGAAGACTACACGAATTAGACAAAATAGATCCACCGAATCCACGCAAATAATTTAAATTAGAAATTTTAAAATGTATCAATCAAAATATTTTTAAAATTAAGTATGAACATTGTACTTTAACAACGGAATCTCCTAACAATTTTGTGATGTTACAAAATAAAACTCTCTTTGAAATTACGAATATTACTAGAAATGACAACGATATATTAATAAGTGGCATGCCTTGGAAAAAAGAACGACCGATATTCATGTATCCGACTGACTCTAGCGATTTATATATGTGGGTTGCCGTCAGAGAATGTAACAGAAATATTCTTACTGTTAATATTAACGACGAAAAATGTAAAATGGTAAAATTAGAGATGAATTTTTAAAAAAATTAAGAGAATAATGTGTTTTGTATGCCACTTTTGCACTTACTTTAGTGTAAATAAATTGTGATTTTCATGAGACGCATGCTTATTCCCGAAATCTTTTTTGACCAAATAGTTTTTTGATATGAAACTACTTAACTTAAAATCCACATAATATGCACATTATTTGACATAAATTTTATTGTACACAAAAACCATTTAACATAAATATCATTTGTCATAGAATTCATTAAACAGAAATATTATGTTACATAAAACTCAGATAACGTAATTCCCATTTGACATAAAAATTATGTAACATAAATTTCTATTGACATAAAAATCATTTAACATAAATTTCTTTTGACATAAAATTCATTTAACGTAAATTTTATTTGTTATAAAATTCATTTGACATCAATTTCATTTGGCATATATGTCATTTAACGTAATTCTCATTTGACATAAATATCATTAGACATAAAATTAGCTTGACATAAATTTCATTTGACGTGAATATCATTTAACATAATTATTATTTAACGTAAAATTAAATTTATATAAATTTCATTTAGCATATATTCCATTTAACATAATTCTCATTTGGCATAAAATTTACTTGACATAAATCTCATTTGGTATAAATCCCATTTAACATAATTTTTATTTGACATAAAGTTCACTTGATATAAATTTCATTTGACGGATAACTCATTACACATAATTCTCATTTGACATAAAATTCAGTTGTCATAGATTTTATTTTACGTAAAGATCATTTGACATGGAAATATAGGCGCGAATTTCAAAATTGGCGAATCACAATGTTCTTGATAATATCTAATTGGTTACTTTTAAAATTCGCGTCTATATTGTTATGTAAAATGTATTTATGTAAAATGATTTTTATGTCAAATGAGAATTTTGTTGAAAAATGTTCAGAATAGGGAACATTTAATTGAGATGCAATTGTTAATTAAATAAAACACATAGATCCGTTTAAATAATATAACAATTTATTTCATTGTTGTTTTACTTTTCGGTTGTAAACAAATGTGCGACGCGTAACTGACAGTTTTTGTTAAAAATATTTTACGTGTTTCTCTGTTGAAAGCAAGATTGTTTCTGGTTACACAGGTAACTAAAACGCAGTGTTGGAAAAATTGGAAAAAGTGGTGGTAATATGTGTATGGTTAAGTGTGTAAGTAATGATGGTTTTACAATTGTCGAATTTAGGTATAATTTTGCAAGTAGATGAAGAGATTGATTTTTAGGGTTTCATGGTACAGTCTAATCTGTACGTGAGAATTTTAAGCCACTTCGTCTTAAGAGGTTCATAGTAATAAACCAATATACAGTAAACTAAGTTTTTTTTAGACTCAAAATGTGTTTGCAATAAAAAGGATAAATTTTTACAACTGTACAGATGTTTTTAAATTTTTATGTGTTTACAAGATTTAGTTGCTTTGTAATAGTTGTACACTGAAACCCCCGAACTTTAGACTTCCGAACATTAGACTGTTGACATTAAGTATGGGCGAGGCAAGGAGAGGGGTCGAGGAAATGTAATGGCGGATTTTAGGTTAGGACCAGTAGCATAAATTTAAAGTGTTCTTTTTTTGTGGCTTTATTTTTTGCGTGTAAAAATTAAAAAATTAATCGAGAATAAAAATACGTAGCATTTGATATTGAAAAGAAAAGTGAAATATTAAAGAGTATAGACGAGAGAGTTAATAAAGAAAAATAAAATTTATATCGAACACAATTTTGCATTCATGCACCGTACGGCTCTGAGTGTTTATACTTTTTGGCGTCAAGGTGTCCACTCCGAACTTTAGACACCAGTACCGAGCAGTCTAAAGTTCGGAGGTTTCAGTGTAGCACTAAACAAAAAGTACTAAGAATTCTTTTTTTTACTACATAGAAACGGTACTTGAAATAAAGTAATATTAGTTTCACAACTTTTTGTACTTTCACATTTCGCCTTAAAGGAGCGTCTCCAATAGGTGCTAATGTATTTGCAAGTGTCAGTGCCAATACCCAATACATTTTGAATGGGTTTGGCACTTGCACTTGCACATGCATATTGGACCCTATTGTAGACGCTCCTTAATACATATGGGTGATTCTCCTGAAAGGGACCCTTTTTTGGTTGAATTTCCAAAAAATCAAATTATTCTTTTTTTGTTACTTTTTTTCATAAATAAGTGTAGAAAATGTTTAAAGATAAAAATATAAGTTGCGCAAAATTAATTTTGAGAAATAAGACCTCTAGGAACATTTTATTATCATGTGTTCTAGAGGTTAAGTATAATTAATTATAACTTTTAATTTAATTATTTTGTAAAAAAAACTCGGTAGGAATATTTTTTTTTAAATAATAAATTGTTATGTTTTAATTTATTGCACTTTTTGCTTGTATATTTTATTTTTATTAAATTAATAATTTAATTTGAGGGTTAAATATTTCAAAACAATGATTAAAAAATTAAAAACAAAAGAAAACGCCTATCAAATATAAAAAAAGGCTTCGGAGATGAATTGATAATGGGTAATGAAAAAATTCTCGTTTTTTCTAATTTAAAAAATATTACAATTTTTTAAACAATATTTTTGGTTTTAGTCATCAAATATTTTCACATAGACTACATATTGTGTTTAAAACGTTGAAAAATATGATGTTATTATATAGAAAATGAGGCTTCGGAGATGAATTTAATTTTCACTCTCATTGATAATACTATTTTAATTAATAATTTTAATAACTTTTTTTATCTTATTTAAAGTAAATGTACGTAAAAAATAATCGTTATATTCTGAACTTTAATTTGATATATATCATAAATATGTTGAAATTATTTAATTACGTTAAAATATAATTATAAAATATACATTCTGTTTAACCAAAATTCGATAACAAAATTAAATATGTTTTTTAAATAGGAAGAACTTTAAATATAAGCAATAGAAGATTATGTAAAGATAGATAAATCTTCGTAGATTATAAATAAATTTTTCAAAAAATTTAAACTTGATAAAATATTAATGAAAAATTAATTTAAATAATGAACCTCATGTTGGAGAAACGTGAAGTGGTCCCTTTCAGGAGAATCACCCATATCTAATACAATGCTCCTTACTACATCAAAAATAGGTCCAATATATTACCTATCTCCAATGAGACACTGTAGTAATTGATTCCTGTGCTACTACAGCGCCATGTATGCTTCCCACTATAAATGTTGTAAAGTTACATATTCAGTGTTATTTCTAACCTCAAAAAGTGTATTATCGTTACACTGAAAGTTGTAGAATTACAAAAAAGTTTCTATGTAATTCTACAATTTCGTGCTGTAACATTTTTTTATTTTTTACAATGTAGTTAAGATCGATAACATTAAAGTCACAAAGTCGGGTATAGAGATAAAGATATCAGATTTAGTAAAAACCTCGCGTCCAGGTGCAGAACAACCTTTCGGCTATGATTTGTGATGACAAAGGCAGGTCTAAAGAAAGAATATACAGGTTATTCTACCAGACATGCATCTACTTCGAAAGCTATGGGTGTTCTCGGCATTCACCCAGAGTTAACTCTAGAGTTAGCAGTGGTGCGAAATTTTAATTCCGAACGTGTGAACGCAGCTTCACTGCGCCTAACCTGACGTGAGTCAACTTCTATTCACCAATTAATCACGTGTCAGTTTAAAAACGTGCGCGTTATAAATTGAAGTGAAATATAAGTTTTTTTATACTTATATTGTTAAATTATGTTGACGTCTAATGAAAAGTGCCAAATAATCCATGCTGTGGTTGATAATGTTACAGGAGCTATAGTTATTGTCCCTAGTGACGAAGAAATTGTATGCTACCTTTTAAAAGAGGATAGTTAGTACATTTTAATTATATTTAAAATTAAACCATATTTTTATATTTAAATTTTTTGCAGCCGTCTCTGCATTTGTCAAGATTAAGTTGCAAAACAATGTATTTTTAAAAAGTTTTTAATTTGCAGTCTGTAATAAGCGAAAACTTACTTCAGATTCAGCATTAGCGACTTTAAAAACCTCCGAATGCCAACTTTTAATCAAATTTGTTTCATTTTTAAATTTTGCCTGACATATTGGATCTGCCATTTTGAATTTTGACAAACTGACTCTAGATTTGAAATGAGCGACCCAAAACACCACCGAAAAACTACTTTCATGTAAATTTGATTAATTTTTTAATCTATTGTCCGCCATATTGAATCCGCCATTTTGAATTTTAAAAAACTGACTTCAGATTCGTAATCAGCGACCCCAATAACCCCCAAGAGACAATTTTCAAGCAAATTTGTTTCATTTTTAAATTTTGTTTGCCATATTGGATCCGCCATTTTGAATAACTGACTCCAGATTCGTTATCAGCGACCCCGAAAAATATAGGAACTATACCTATTGCAGATATTTCTTAATTGCCCTAATTATGGGACTGAAAGGGTTAAGGTGTATCTAAAGAGAAAAACATTGTCCGACCTAAAAGTTAGTTCGTGTCTTCTTTTTACAGTCGCTTATTTTAAATCTGAATTTTTCATAATCCAGAAATGGTTTACTTTAAATGATTTACTAAAATTTAATCCGATTTCTGTGATACTACAATCTCAAAATGTTTTTGACCTATGTAAAATAAGTTTCCGAAACTGTCTGACGCTAAAATCA